AAACTGGTCAAAATATCGCACTCCTATTATTTTGTGGACAACTGTATGTATATTATTTTGTGAATGTTTTTGAAAATGTCGTTATTATTTTTAATACGCATGTATATACGTATGTACAACTTTCCCCTAAATTTTACGAAAAATTACAATAAAAAAATCTCGAATTGAATTTTTTCTAATTATGCAAATATATGAGCAAATCTTCACTGAAAGCAGAACGAGAATGCCCAACAATAACAGTGCGGTTGTTCAATTCGCTGGCGAAATTCCCTTGTGTCTCATTATCAGCCCCAAACCGCGCTAGACAATGGAGCAAAACTAACTTCTCTTCTCTACGTTCCTGGTCTAATCATTCACCACTTTGTCCATCCACATGTTCGAGTTGGTCGCCATTCGGCCTTTGCCATTCTTCCTCGCTAACCGTTTGGACTAATGTGCAATTTACCGCATGAGCATTTACTAGCATACATCTTTTCGCTTTCGCCTTTTTACTTTTCGAGGGAATCTTTATATATTTAGTTTGGTGAAAAGTGGTAACTTAAAAGCTGCTTTGTTATTCCTACTAAAACTTTTATTTAAAATCATTATTTACATAGAAAATTTACCTTATATCAAACGTGAAACACTAATTGCATACACAAGAAATTGATTTATAAAATTTTTGCTTGACACACTGTTGCCAGCCTTCTCACTAAACAAAAAAAAAAGAGAAGAGTTAAATACAATTTTTCAAAACGAGTTCACTTGGTTAAAACATTTAATCCTTAAAGTTATTGTAAAATAAAAATAAAAAAGTGTGATATTTTTATCACAACATACATATATTTAAACTTAGCACGTTGTATTCATAGAAATGCAGAAAAATTCAATCTAATATTTTTAGACCAAATATATTTGGCAACGTATTTGGCAGGTGCTGGTAACCATGGGTACTTCGGTTTTTCTTCCTAATTACTTTTTGTTCGGCATTTAAAGACGACTCAAAGAGAATATGCAGCCGTCACGTTTATTCTACTCGCAATTTCGTCTTTTTCCAATCTGACGTTAACCTCTCACTCAATTTCATTACGAAGCGGTATTTTATGGCATCAGAGTTGCAATAATCAAACTGATTTATCAAATGTAATTATTCATGCTTAACATTTGATATCCAAAAAAACAGCGCGGAATTAATCATTAATAATACATATGTATATATTTCATCTGCAATGTTTATCTCTGTGCGAATGGAGTTATGAACAAAAACAACAATTTACTAATGCGACAATTCAACCGGCAACCCTCTTGCAATTCCTTCTAAAACCGCTTTCCGAAAAACTCGAGTGAAACAACAAACCAGCACGAGTCGTGGGAGGAAGAAGGTACAAAACATTAATGCGTAACCGACGCTCTTTGTTCAGAAAACTGCAAAGGCAAATAACCCGAGTGGGAATAAATCTTATAAAAAAAAGTAGACAAAATGGAGTATTTATGGGAAACTTGTAGCGCAAGTCTATTTTTAACTTTTGATGTTTGGATCTAATTACACCTGCTTCGTTATCACTATAAACACAATTTTGTTATCTTCATATCGCACTAAAAACTCGATTTTTATACATATTCGGAAATATTCCGGTCCATGTGGATGCAAATTCATGCGATAGGACGCCATTTCATTGGTGTTGCACAAGCAAGCGCTTCTCTTTCGCACTCATAGGCATCCTAATGGTGCGCGATGAATAAGCACTTCACTTATACGTATTTTTCCCAAAATAATTCACCCATCAACCAGCATTTGCAAGACACAATGAAAATAACTAGATTTTGCACTTAAGCACACTCCAACTGTTGAAATTTTATATATAGGTAACAGAAAACTACTTGACGCACATTTTTTCACTAATAAAAATAATTTTTCACCAATTTTCTACCAATAATTTGCTTAAAAACGCAGAGCAAAAACACCGTACCTGCAATTGTGCCGTCTTCTTCTACAGAAAAATTTTGTGCTGCCACTTCAAGAAAAAATCGAATATTTGGCCCACAGTCGATACCAAAAGGCAAGTAACAACTTTCGAAAATTAGAGCATATGCTAAACGGGCATTTCCACGCCGCAAACTTTGCGCAATTACGACACTGCTCAATTTAGCACTAGCTTGAGACCCGGGGTTCGAATCCTCGTGCAGCGTTATTTTTTAACTAAAATTTTTTTTAATAAATAATTGTTCAAGGAAGCTTTTTTAGAAAGAATTTTTTTTTATAATAATGTTTTCATATGAAATCCAGATAACTTTTACTGTTTCGCTATCGCTCCTCTCTTTCAAGAGTTTGAGAGTTTTATAGTTTTTTGCCATGATAAAAACATTGAAAGTTAGAACCGTTCTCCAAATTCGTCGGCCATGATTTTTTTTTTTTTTAAGCTTGCCAGCATTTTAAAATGACATAAAAATAAAAAATGAAATTATTCAAAATTTTTGTTCTTTGAAATTAGAAATGAGAATGTGTGTATAATTTGTGAATAAATTTTCACATTAAAATGCTCGAAAACGTCAAATTGGCTAAAAGTGTTTCTCAGCGGTTTTACCTTCCTATATTTTGATCACAGGTTTTTACCATGCACGAACCACGCAAAAACGCGACGTTGTATTTGTAACTGGGTTTGAGAAAAAAGTTTGTGAAAGCGGTTTCGTCAGCTGAGCGTTTGTTTACATCACAAGTACAACTATTTTGCACTTTTATTTAAGTAAAGAAGAGTTAATTCAACATGACAACACGTTTTAAAGCATTTTAATGAATCATTTTAACTAAATTGTTTGTTTAAAATGGCTGGCAATAACTTTGGTTAATTTTGGTTTTCGTTCTTTTCTTTACCTTGTTTACTATTCGTTTGTTTTCCAGTGAAACAAGATGGCCTAGAACCCGCTGAAAAAATCAACTTTTTCACTTCCTTATTCTTGCGTGATCTTGTGTCGTTCGTTCCTGGGTTTTACAGGAAGTTATCAGGAACGCAACTATTTTTGGCTATATATGTTAATACTGACAATACGGCAACACTTCTAAACAGCTGATGATTTGTCAAAATTATCCGTGCCTGCAATTGTCTGCTGCTCATGTTTTCGTAAGACATTCGCTGGAGGATTTAGAAAATAGAACACACTTTCTTCCAATTATATTTGTCATCCACATAATAAGATGTCATTAACCCCTGCAAGTGGCATTGGCCGGTACTATAAGCATTCGGCGAAAATTATCCGCTTCGTGCGCCAGGGCTGCACAAACCGTCCCTTCTATCACATAGTTGTTATGGAGGTATGTATTCCTGGGACAATAACCACTCGGCTTAAACTATAGATGAATGTACCTTTTGTAGCGCCGTAAAAATCAACATCAGCCCGTAATAGAACAAGTTGGCAGTTATGATCCAATGCCCAACGAGAAAAATGAACGTTTAGTTTCATTTAATTTTGAACGACTTCGCTATTGGTTAGGTCGTGGAGCCCATTTGTCAACACCAGCAGCCGAGTTATTGGGTATAGCTGGTTTTTTACCAATTCATCCACGCACTTATATGACCGCCTGGCGTAATAGGCAGCTAAGCCCAGAGGACGCTCAAAATCAAGAAAAGGATCCTGTTGCCGCGTAACGCGAAAAAAACTCAGTCTGCATTTAAATAGTTGAAAATAATAAAATTTAACAAAACCTATTTAAATACATACTTATGTACATGTAGGTTTTTAATTTGAGATTTTTATGTATGTAACTTAAGTCATACCCCTGCAGAAAATCCGACTAACTCAGAACTAGCGTTGAACTAGACCTTTTGCCGACAAGCAATGCTTTCAACTGTCCAGTTTTACACGGCGATTGCCAATTGTCGCCCAGTGCATTACTTTGCAACTAGTTTTTG